TAACGAAGTTCCTTAATTTTTTTCAGAGAAATTTAAAATTTCAACCACCAATAAATAAACTAAACAAAAGAGCAATAGATGTTTGCGTTTTAATAAACTGACTTTATAGCTTTGTTAACGTAAAATGTGTATTTAATTTTTGTGAGCACCTTATATAATATTTGATAAATTGTAGTAAAAATTTAAGTAGAGAAAATACATTTTGTAAAAGAAAGAGAACATAAATTTATATACAGGGTGGTCCGAATTGTATTCCGGAAACTTCGGCAGCATATTCTACAGATCAAAATAAGTGAAAAAGTTCGTATAAATGTATGTCCTAAAATGGCTTAGTTTCGGAGATACAGGGTGTAGAAGTTTTACTTTTATTTCGAGTTCTTCCAAATAATTTCTGAATTAACGTCAATATTTGGATGAAAATTGGTGTCCGGAAGTTTTTTGACGCGAGAAATTTTATTTTGATGTAAATATAACTTTTACTTGTAGAGGGCGCCACCTACATATTTTTTAACTGGTTTGAAAAGTAATAACTTTTCGTCCGTAGCCTATAAAACTACTGAGTAAAAAATATACATTTACGATGTTTTTTACGTAAAAAAGGTCTCTTGGTAAAAATCGCTATGAGTAATGGTTCTCGACATATTTGTAATCGAAATTATCAATACCTGCCATCATTGACATATAAATTATTATACACGTTGACAAAATAGTTGTTAGACTGAAATCATAAATTTGAAATCTTTTTGTGCTAAAAGTTTAACAGAAACTATTTTATCATCATTTTTTCGAAGAAACATTTATGATTAATTTAAAAAAATAAGAAGTTCCCAAATTTATAATTTCAGTCAAATAACTATCCACTCAACGCGTTCATTTTTTGTCAATAATGACATGTATTGACTATTTCCATTCTAAATATCTTGAGAACGATTGTTTTATTTTTGCCAAGAGCCATTTTTACGTAAAAATCACAGAAATGTATATTTTTTCACTCAGTACTTTTATACAGGTATGGACGAAAAGTTATTACTTTTCATAACAATTAAAACACATGTAGGTGGCGCCCCCTACAAATAGGAATCATATTGACATCAATATCACATTTCTCATGTCAAAAAACTTCTAGACACCAATTTTCATTAAAATATTGACGCTACGGAAAAAAATCGAAATAAAAATGAAACTTCAACATCCTGTATCTCCGAAACAAATCATTTTATGGCATACATTTATACGAACTTTTTTACCTATTTTTATCTGCAGAATATGCTGCCGAAGTTTCCGGAATATAGTTCGGACCACTCTGTATAAATGCATTGATGCTAAAATATATTTTAGAAATTAAAAATATTTAATTACTTATTTTATATTTTTATATAATTTATTATTTTTTTCATATCTGAATTTTTTGCCTAGTTATTATGAAGAAGAGGAATCTCTTACCTCATAAAAATATTTTACCATAGACACATTAACACAGAAAGAAAGACGGAAAGTACTTGGCAGTATTTAAAAGAACTTTAAATGGAGCATCTGACAGATACCAATCTTAAAAAAAGATGAAAATACTAATCTTCATTTACAAAGTTTCTGTACAAAGATGGGCTCCATAAATTTAGACCAGAGAAATCGAGAGTTCCATCAATTGACGCCAGTAAAATGGCCCAGAAAATTAAGGCATATTAGTCTTCTTTTGGACTGGAAACTAAGTTCCATCTAGGAAAAATATAATAGGAAAAGTGAAATACTTGTTCGGTGTGTATTGCTGATTTGACAAAAAGTAAAATGAACAAGAAATACGCCATTCAATACCTTTTTTTTAGAAAACGCTTTGTGCTATTTTAATTGGCTTATGGGATATTCTTATTTCTGTGCATTGCTTTTAAAAATTTTTATTAAAATTTTCTTAAAATTTTTGTTTAATTAAATATGAATTTGAAGTACAAAAATATAAGTATAAGCCAGCCAGCTAGGGTATGGCCACTGCCCCACATTGCCCCACCGTGGCCGCCCATTATACAGTTTCCTACGATGTTCTCTATGGGTATCTCGGAAACTACTGCAGATAGAGAGTGGGTTAAATGGGGAAAGAATTGCAGTTTTGTGGGGTCATAAATACGCGCCTTTCAGATTTTTGAAAAAGTTCATGGCTTACTAGATATTTGGAAAAAAACAAATATCGGCTCTTTTAAAAATTGTCACTAATTCCATTATAAGCTATTTTAGACAAAAAGTTTTCGGATAAAAGTTATAGATAATCACATCCTTAATGAGATTGTGTCCTCCTTTTTTTTTCCAAAGCCTGTCATTTTTTACATATGATACAAACTTAAATGTTTTTTAAATGGAAACCATAATTGTCCATGACTTCATAAAAAGCGCCATTTCTTAAGCTTTTCAGCGATATAAGCTATAATATGTTTTCTTCGAAAAATTACTGAGTTATAGCCAATTTTTATAATTTTTAAACAATTTCACTGAGTTAGCCATGGAAACAAGTTTAATCGTCTTTGCTTTCATAAATTTGAAGCTGTCACATCCAAACTTTGTAAATTAAAATAAACAAAAATTGTAAATATGAATTTTTCAAATGAAGAAAAGCGTGTAGGATTATTGGTTCAACTTTTCTTGACCATACATTTTCGAGGATACGTTGACCGGTGAATGTTACGTTTTTTAGAGAACGGTTTTCAAAAAACGTTAGGAAAGTTAAATTTAGTTAAAGCCAATTCTTATCTTTCTTGACTAATTTCACATAGATTGCATGGTATTTTTATTCTGTTATGATTTATAACTTATAAAAAGTCAGAATATATTACTAAATGGTTCTTTACAATTTTCATTACACAAACTAAAGTTTAAAAAAATAATATCACTACATACACTTTAAGTTTTAAAAAATGTTCAAAAAATCCGCCATTGATTTGAGTTGCATCTTTTTAAAACTGAATTACTACCTATTCTCACAGAAGGACTTAATTAAACTTTTCTCGTACCGCCACTTCGAGTGCCTCTCTTAATTCATTAGTTACTTTGTAAATCTTATTGCTAACCATACCGCATAAAAATTCCTCTTCCTATCCCTGCGTTTGCATAATTATGATATAATTTTTAACATTTCTTTCATTATGGGGGAGTGGGGGGTAGTGTGTCATAATGAAAGTCATGTTGGAACCACTCTATTGATGCGCGAGTATCTACGCGCTTTTTTTTATTTGAAAAATTCATATTTACAATTTTTGTTTATTTTAATTTACAAAGTTTGGATGTGGATGAATTTACAAAGTTTGGATGTGTCACGTTTCTGAGAGCAACGGTGATTGAACTTGTTTCCATAGCTAACTAAGTGAAATTGTTTAAAAATGATAAGAATTGGCTATAACTCAGTAATTTTTCGAAGAAAAGATATTATAGCTTATATCACTAAAAAGCTTAAAAAATGGCGCTTTTTATGAAGTCATGGCCAACTATGGTTTCCATTTAAAAAAAAACATGTTTGTATCATATGTCAAAAATGACAGGCTCTAGAAAAAAGCGGAGGACACGATCTATAGAAGGATGTGATTATCTACAACTTTTATCTGAATTTGTCTGGAAATGGAATTAGGGACAGTTTTTAAAATAGCCGAAACTTGTTTTTTTCGAAATATTTAGTAAGCCATGAACTTTTCCGGCGGATATTAATGACCCCACAAAACTGCAATTCTTTCCCCATTTAACCGACTCTCTATCTCCAGTAGTTTCCGGGATACCCATTTTCGTAGGAAACTCACCCTGTATAAGGATAATTGAAATAATGAATTTAGTGAATTTAGGAACTTTTACTCAAAAAAAAGTAATATACCTAATAATTAATTAAAATTTTTTGCATTTGGGTTTTAGATACACCCACATCTTCCTCTATGCATCTTGTAGATGTTTCTGGTGTAGCTTCAACTGATGCCAAAACATTTACCCCAAATGCTTTATTTTCTTTGTTATATTTTTTTGATCTGGGTTTGTTCATCCATATTGAAATAGGTTGCTCTGTATTTTTCGAAATATGCGTTTATCTGCATATCTTCTCTCGGTATATCTGGAATACGATCATGTGTACATACATTGCAATGTTTCAATTACAAGGAAACCTGTACCTAGTAACCTATCTGTTTAAATAGAGCTCTGATGCCGCTGATCAGAATCTTCGTTGGCTAATGTAAAACATTATTCCTATCATATTTTTCAAAATAATAAAAATTTTGTTGTTCTGTCACGTTTAGCACATACAGTGAATAAAGAAAAACAACACGTAAACTAGCACGGAAAAGACAATAGCCAAAATTTGACGTTGAATAAATTATTCAATTGTTATGACTAACTATTATAAACGGCTGCCTATGTTAAAAAGTTAAAAAATGTATATTTTACCTTTTTATGAAAATAAGTCTATGGTATGTTATATTTTTAGAAAGCTCATGACAAGGCAAATTACTCTGTAAAACAAACGAAAATGGGACACAAGTACAAGGGACCTACAGTTTATCGTCGAATCCGAACGGCACTATTTGAGTGGCTGTACAAGACAAATATACTCAAGGTGATTTGCCATTGCCTTCCTTGAGGAGGCGGCTCGTTGGTCACTCTATTTAGATAAATTAATATTTGCATTTAAATAATAAAGCGACCGTACTGGCTCGGGATCGAACCCAGTACCTTTCGCACTGCAGATCGACACACTACTGCTTGCTCTACGGCCGGCAACACGAATAACCTCGTAGGGAGACAAAAGTGAAAACTTTTCTTTGAACACGTAGTTAGAGTAGAGAAACACATTTCCTTTAGTGATATGTCACTGTCTTTCCAGTAATAGAGTAATAATAGCAAACAAACAAACTAGTAGACGAACTTTTGCACTCTCTCACACAACCAGACTTTCCGCTGTTGTGTTATTACCGCTTCTATAAATCCGATCAATCTTTGAACTATCAACTATTTTTTCAGATTCTCTTTTTACTTTTCAGATAGTTGCGGGTGCCTCTGTTTTCTTCATATGTGTCTCAGTATTTTCCTTCTGCTTGAAAACTCACCCTGGAATGAGAGTCGAATGCGATAACATTAAAGAGGTAAATTGCACAGAGCCCCATCCATATTTCCATACGATAGAGCACGTCTGCAATGCCTGGTTCACATTCGAATTGTCCACGAGATTAATTGTAAGTATATATTATAACTTAGGTATAAAACTGATTTATTGTGGTCAGTTCTTGTTCTTTATTTTTTGTTTGATAGGCTGGGGATGGAATTTTGATATGAAAATACACGGTTCGGCAATAGTGCGTCGGTCATCTGTAGCTCATACAATAAAAAAACTTGAGAATTTTGTTTAAGCGCAAGCCTAAAATATGCACCAGGATGTATTTCAGAAAAATATTGTAACTTGTACAGGGTGGCTTAAAAAGTGTTAGTGGATCGGGATGATTTTTTTGAAATGGAACACTTGGTGTATATACACTGTATATTATTGCATTTTTGACTTCGTTCCTGATCACTTCACATAATCCTAGGATATTGTTAAATATATCTTGATAGAGATAATTCAGAGATTAATATTTCTGAAACGATCAAAACAGATTAAATAAAATATCTTAGGATATATACGTATAAAGTGATCAGAAATGAAGCCAAAAATGCATATATAATGAAGCCAAAAAGGCATAATATATTCGTACATGATGTTATATTAAAAAAAATATCCCGATGCATTTACGCTTTTTTGAACCATCCTGTAGAAGTTAAAATATACACTTGACCAAAATTATTGCATTTATCGTTTAAAAATATAGGGAAAGGAATTTAAAGAATCTTTTTTTATACATATCTTTGATAATCTGTAATAAACATTTTTTTTGTTGAAATGGATATGGTAAACAATGTTTAATGTTCAGACCCAATATTATTACAAATTCTTGCACATTTCGATTTGCGATCTCTTGGGTTTCAGAAGAAATTTGACCATTGTTTTGGCCTTAAAATGCCTAGAAACATTATTTCACAGTTTAATAGAGTAAGAATAGTAACACTGTCTAAGTTCTGAAAGTTCTTCACTGAAATTGTAGGAGTTAACCAAAGCGATGTTTCGCGAATATTAAAAAAATTCAGAGAGACAAACGAGGTTACCAAGCAGACCGGCCTGGAACAGGTAGAAAGAGAGTTCCTACTGCTGTGCAAGACCGTCAAATATTGCACGACGTAATCCCCTGCTTTCTAGTACTGCTATTAAAAACGAGTTAGCTCGCCTTGAAGGAGTAAATGTTTCAAGAAAGGCCATAGGAAGAAGACTCCATGACAGAGGATTACATTTAAGGAGGCCTCTACATGTTCCGAAGCTTAATTTACAGCACAAAATTACGCGACTACAATGGGCTGAGGAGATAAGAACAAATAGACCTACTTAACTGGAGTTTCGTTATGTTTAGTGATGAAACAAGAATAGGCCTAGAAGTTTGGTATGGAGAGCATCTGGAAGACGAGCACGCTTGAATGCAGCTCAACCCCGTGTCCCGTTTCAAGGGGGAAGTATTAAGGTATGGGCAGGTATAATGCACGGAGCACGAACTCCTCTTGTTTTTATTGATGGAACAATGACAGGTGCCTCATATCTTCGAGACGTTTTAGAGCCTATTGTGCGTCCATTTCGAGGGGCAGTGGGGGATGAATTTGTTTACATGGTCGATAATGCTCCTCCCCATCGCACTTTAGCGATTCGCGAATTTTGTGAGGAAGAGGGTATAAGGAAAACTGTGGTGGCCATCGATGTCTCCAGATATGAATGTGATCGAGCATGCTTGGGACATGCTAAAACGCAATATTGCCAAAAGGATTGATCCCCCTCCCCCGTACCTTAAATGAATTGAAAATTGCTGCGCGCGAAACATGGGAAGCCATTCCTCAACATCTTCTGGACAACTTAATTGAGAGCATGCCACGTCTTCTCACAGCTTGCATTTAGTCTCGAGGAGGCAATACAGACTATTATTAGTTGTGAGAAATAATTAAAATTGTTTTCAATATTTTCTGTTTAAAATGAAATTTGTTTTTGTTGATTTTCACTCATTATGAAATAAAATTATAATAACAGCCTAGTTGCACCTAGATATTAGTTAGTCGTGTAGTAAGCCAATATGTCCAAAAATATAAAAAGAATCATATTAGGTCCAAAATAAAATAAAGATATCGTTATATGCAATAATTTTGACCATGTGTGTATTTTCCTGTAATATATTCTTTAGGTTTGCACATATACAAAATCCGTAATTTCTTTATAGTAGGAGCTATGCCCGACGCACCATTGCCGGCCCCTTTATATATCATATTTTTATTTTTGGGCTTATCCAAGCATTGTTTTGGTTTGATTTTGATGCCATTTTTACTGCAATTTATTTTATGTAGTGCGATACTTGCATCTTTTATTTTTAAAACATATTTACTGTAGGCGTCACTTTTATCCAGCTACACAACCGTGTTTTTAGATTTTTTCATCTACAATTGACTACAACCCGGACCAACGACTTTGACCTAATTCGGTCCAGTTCGCGAGTAGTGTAGTGGCCATTTAAGACTGTAGAGAGAAATCAACAATGTTTTCAACGATATATCACACAAAAATACTTAACTTTTTTTAATACGAACCTCGCATTTAAAAAATATTTTTTATCGAAGGAATATTCCAATTGCTACTTGACAAATCCTACTTGACAAATCCTACTTGTTACTACATACTCCTCATTTACTATTGTGTTTTTTTGAGGCAACAAATTCTGCTTTCGGAATAACATTAAAACTTTTTAAATACTATTAATACACTATGTGTAAACTTTTCTTTAACTACATTAAAAAATAATTGCGTAGTCATTTTTTTGGTTATACTTTCTTTGGGAAAATCCAATCTGTATATATATTTTGTTGGATTTTGTTAAAAGATTTTGAAATGTTTGTATTAAAATATCATTTGGTAACTTCCTTTTTTAGATTAAGGTAAAAACAAAGCCGTGTTTTCCCAGTCGACAAAATATAATAAAACACGGATTTTCCTTGGCGCTAATCAAACTTTCCTTTTTCTTTTCCCGACCTCGAGAGAAAATTTATTTTTCTCGGTTCTATTTTGCCAATAAATAACTCCTGGATTCGAACTTGAATTAAAATTTTAATTAGAGAAGTCCATTCTTTTTATTGGGGGAAAATGTACTATTTTCTTACGGAGAAAAGACAAATTCTGTAGAGGAATTTTGTGACAAATTGGATTTTAAAGAAAAATTTAGAAATAATTGTTTTGAAAATATGTTCCGTTATGCAATAACAAAATCCAATTAATATAGTCCTGGAAACGGAATTTGAATATGCAGCGTGATCCGAGCTCTATTCCGGAAACTTCGGGAGCATATTCTGCAGATAAAAATAAGTTCAAAAGTTCGTATAAATGTATGTCCTAAAATGCTTAGCCTCAAAGATATAGGGTGCAGAAGTTTTATTTTTGTTTCGATTTTTTCTAAATAATTTCTGAAGTAACGTCAATATTTGGATGAAAATTTGTGTCTAGGAGTTTTTTGACATGAGAAATTTGATTTTGATGTCAATATGACTCCTACTGGTAGAGGGCACCACCTACATGTGTTTTAACTGTTTTGAAGCGTAATAACTTTTTGTCCGTACCTGTATAAAACTACGGAGGGAAAAAATATACATCTCTGTGTCTTTTTACGTAAAAAATATATTTTTGTTAAAATCGCTATGAGCAACCGTTCTCAAGATATTTATTTAGAATGGAAATAGTCAATACATGTAATTATTCACAAAAAATAAACACTTCTGTTTTTTTCTCAGGTAAGATTTCGACAGACTATGACAGAAGAAAAGCGGATGACGTCCATACCAATCTATTTATTTTACTAAAAAAAAGTTTCTAATATTTTTTAAGTTAACTATGGATGGATTTAAATATAAATCCGTCATGCGTCGTCTCTTGTTGTTTTTAACCAGTTTTATTGGTTTATTTTAAAAATGACAGATCATATTTCAATTTTATTGGTTTAACGGAACGATGAACGACAAACAGACGCCGATGCGTATGAACCCGCCTTTAGATTTCTGAGAGTTTTCAAAGTCTTGCCAAATTATAGGTTATAATTTTGTGTCAACTTATGTTAAATACCTTGCGTTTTGGAAGATGATGCATTTTGATTCGTGTTATTACGTGTGTTTTGTGTCTTTTGAAGTCAAGTGGAGGAAAAATCGAGGGAAAATTAACTGTAGACCCAGAGCACAGTTTATAGTTAATACTCGATGCCCAGGCAGAAAGTTTTATACACCAATAAAGTTGCCATAAGTAAAGTTTGTATATCATCTCGTCACAAATAAGTGCATCTCTTATATAGTACAAGGATCGTACTAAACTTAATATACTAAAAGCTGCAGTAGCTGTAAAATAAGAACATCACACGATAGGTAAATAATAGATTTTAGTACTGCAGAAAAATAATGTCAAAAGGTACTGCTGTAAAAAAATTAAAATTAAAGTTAATTAATCAACCTTTAAGGTTTAAAATTCGGTATGTGTTATTATTAATAAAATAGTTTGTTCTATTTATATTGTTTTATTTATTCCTGTGGAATATTACAAATTTGTATTTGTACATAACTTATATTGATTAATATAATAATAAATGCGGAAAGTTTCTTGAAGCTCGAAAGTAATATATAGTTCTTTTTTATTTTTTTTGGCACGTGGAGTTTTGTTCTTGTTTGTTTTGTATTAACACATACCGTTTTTTTAAATAAAATAACTTAAAAGATTTTTTCAGTTTAATACAGTTTTTTTCACAATATTTTGAAGTAATCACTTGTCACTCAAATTTTAAATATCTTAATTTCCTGCTATGCGTTCCAATTGTACCAACTTATTTCTTTGTAAAATCAAATAAACTTCTTTGAAATTAAAATGACAGACACATATATCACTGTCAAGGATCTTGTCGTTGGACAGACTATAGATAGTTATTTCATTGAAATCATAAATTTGGGAAATTTTTATTGTTTTAAATTAATCATAAATTTTTCTACAAAAACATGATGATAAGACAGTTTCTGTTGAACTTTTAGCACAAAAACATTTCAAATTTATGATCCCAGTCTAATAACTATTTAGTCAACATGTTTA